TTTATTTTATTTTATTTTATTCTTTTTTTTTTGGCAGAAACGGGGATTGAACTCAGGCCCTCGTGCTTGCCAGGCAAGCTCTTATTCTACTGAGCTATCTCCCTGGCTTCCCTCAATTTTTTAAAAACCTTAAATTCCAACTACACATTTCCATCATAAATCTCAATTTATTTATTTATATTTACTTATTTTTGTATTTAGTGCAAAGTCTAAGGGGTCTCTCTACACAGATGGGACTTGTAGTGATCCTCCTGTTTTCAGCCTCCCAAGTTGTGGAATTATAGGCCAGCACCACCATGCCCGCTCTCAGTCCCTGTCTCAGTGTGCCCTGAGGGCGGGGCCAGCACAACACACTGGGATCGAACCCTGGTCCATGCACCTGCCTGAGCAAGCACTTTAATCTGCTGAGCTCTCTGGCCAACCCTTAAATCTCAATTTAAGAAACACATTTTCTAAACAAAGGTTTACTTGATTTTGTGCTTTCCAGACATAGCTAAAATTTTTAACAACAGATTTTACAAAAATAACATTTAAATTATGGGTGTATTACTTCATAAAGTTTATATTTACAGGTATAAGAATTTAAGAATCAAATGGATTTCAAAAATTATTTGAAAAATAACCTACTAAAAATATTTTCAGTTTTAAAAATTCTTTTCTTTATAGACAACTTTATGGACTACTGTCGCTTCTTAATTTGAAATAACTCATGGACTTGTTTTGTATTTAATACTAAAAAAGTTTTGAATAGCTTCTTTTCCTTGACATTTCTATTTACCCTTTTGCTAAGTTTTTATTTCTTTTGCTGGGAAGACATCCAAGTGCCGTTAAGCAGAACTATTCAGTTCTACTTCAGTCAAAATTCATGCTGCTGCATGAAGATCACCCTTTGAATTAAAAAATCCCTCAGCGTGTGGCGCTCACAACTTTGATTTCTCAGGAAGGCGGAGCCACAGAGAGAGGTAAATAGTATAGTTTGAGGATGCAGTCCAGCAGTATAGCTGCTATTTTTCTAAAAGTTAAGCGTATATTTTATTTTTCAAAATCCAAATAAAAAATGAAGCCAAATGTATTTATCCACTAATGTTAGCATTTATGTTGTGTTTGTTTGTTTGTTTGTTTGTTTAAACCCAGGTTGAAGTTTCTGGAAGGGCGGAGAGGACCACAACAAAAATATTTATACACTTCCAGATTATGTATTTAGCTGATAAACAAAATGAGTCACCAGGCTTTCTAAAGGAAAGTTGGGAAATAATTATTTTCTTCAAATGGAGCACATTCGCACCATTTTATAGGTGTTCGTTCTTACCCCATTGATAGCTATTTATTCTCCTCTTTGATGACAATTATTTCAGACTTTGAGGTTGAATAACATGTTCCAGTTTGAGGTCATCTGATTTTTCAGGTAGAGAATATTTTTTTCTTAAAATAATCATAAATGAACAGTTTCCTCAAAGCCAATTGATGGCAGCTTACTTTAAATGATAAAGTAGCCAGTAAATAAACTCACTGAATTTTTTTTTCTTGTCAGTTTGACAAAAATTCACACACTCAACCCAATTCACGTTCATTCTCAGCATCAGGCCCTAGAAAATGATGCTATCAGAATTATTCTTGATATCAACACCAGTGCAAAAATTAGAATGTTTTCGGCGCAATGACAATACTACTCTGTAAGATCTCGAATGAATATCTGTTTGTCTTCATACTTGTACATTTACTCTTAAAAAATGTGTTTCCATTTTTAACTTTCTTCAATTAATATGTAGTTATTACTAGAACAGAACAAAATTTACACTGATCAATTGCTTATTTTAATCACACAGTTATAAATTCTACAGTCTATCTCTTTGGAGACATAATTTTTACTAATGAGCTCATAAATTCCTTTGAATGTTTGCATTTTCTAATCTCAGTCTGCACTTCGGTATTAATGTTTTCTACCATATTTGTGCTTGTGTATTTATGGACTGTTGAAAGATTTTATACCTTCTCAATATGTTCTGCTTATCCCACTGGCAAATTATGTCTAGAGTGACAAATAATCATGTGACAGCTACAGTCTCAGTTCTATAAAAAGTGATGAATTTTGCAATATCTCTAGCACAGAAATTACCTACCCTATATTTTCACCCAGCTTTTCATAGTGTTTTAATGTTACTATGAAAATGTTTTTGTTAATTTCAATGGCAAGTTGCTATTTTTGTGCTCTGGAAATAAAGTCTTCTTTCTCATGAATATGACCATTTTAGATGTTCCCTTCTTTCAAATGGATCATCCCATGTAATTCAGAAAATGCTTCATGTTTCCTCACGTTTATAGTGCTGTAAATGAGAAAACTCCAGCTTCCGGGGTGATATACTGCACTGTTTCCCTGATGTCCATCCAGGCAAAGCCGCCTGAAATTGCCGTGAGTCAGGCGCTTACTTGTGTGTAGTGACATTCGATGTGCTCTCTTTCTGAGCCATATTTATTTTCTTATATTTTCTACCTTATCATGGCATATTAATTATTCAAGGCCCGTATGTTACTTTACTATTTTGGAGTAGCAATAGCCTTGGAATCCACTGCAATAACTACTTTTACACTTTTGAGATTTAGCTTAGCAAGTCAGCACACCATGTTTCCCTCCCCAGCCCCAATCAGTGCTTGTGAGCATCACCCAGCTTCCTCGGAGAGCTCATTGCTTTCACTGCCTCCCTCGAACTGCATCTTCCACCAACTTCTGTGTCACTCTCTGGTTGTGGGCTCCTGGTGTCTGGAATCCCCTTAATCCTGTTTCCATCTTTTCTGCATTTACATTGAACTTCACTAGTCTCAGTCTTGTGTGCCTTTAGTGCTAAGACTTTTTTTCTTTTCTCTCACAATATTTTTTCTATGTGAGATAATGCTATTTACCTTAGTTTAAATTTATGCTGATTTACATCAAATTTATGGTATCTATTCAGAGAATACATTGGAAATCCACTGCCATATTTACCATTTCCTTTTCCTTCCTTATACTGATGTAGTTTGCATCTTTGATGTTCTATGTTCAAGCAATTGATTTTACCTTACGTTTCTCCTTCTGTTTTTCCCAAGTTCCTGGGCCTGTGAATTGCATAATGAAAAATAATACACAGGCACATACACACTTCCACACAGGAGACATTTGCAATCTGTCACCTTTACAAATGCCCCTCTAAAAGCTTTTTATATTTATAATTGATATATGGCCCTGGGTCTTGTAATTCATGCCATTTTTACATCTTTGTCCAATATGATTTCTTTTCTTTTAAATTCTTCGGCACTTTCCACAGTTCAAGCTTAAAATAGCCACTGCCATGTTTCCAGAAGATGAGTGAGTCTGTTACTCTTTTCATTGACAGTTTTTCCAGTTTCTTTTATAACAGAGTAAAACCTTTTGGTGCATGCTGCAGGATTTTAGCCCTGGACACCCATCCGACTCACTCTGCACAGTCACGTAGAAACACATCAATTTTATTTGCACCTCCCTCCCGCCAGCACCATCAAACCCAAGGCCTGCACCTTGAGCAAAGCATTGTCAGCCATTTTATTTAATGTTTTGTGGCAGGATCTCCCTCCATGGTTCAGAATAACCTTTTTATTTAACTAGGACCTTGACACCTGAGTTCCCTCTGCCGTAAATGTCCTTCTCCTATCGTCGCTCTCCTTTCAAGTAAGCAATTCATTTCTACCTTTAGGTCTAGATGAAATTTAGTTTGCTGAGATTGAAGAAGTATTAGAAGCAAAAACATAAATTATCCCCTTAAATAGCTTTGAAAATTATCTAGGAAGATTTATGGAACATATAATTGTTGACTCCATTATTTATTCATATTCACAGTGCCAGATTTTTCAGAATAAGAATGACCTGTACTGTCATAGCACAAGGAAGCAAAGCAGAGGGAGGCGAAGGCCAAGAAAGAAGCTAAAGGGTACGAAATGAACACGGCACGTTACAGAAACGCAGCCTTTCCCTAAAGCAGTCACCACTATACGTTACAGATACAATCATCTGTAACGTAACATAAGGAAACTCTCCTTAGAGAAGAAGAAGAAGCATTTGGCATTCTAGCGAATGCACCTGTGGACACATGTACACCCGCGGAGCAAGGCCGTCCTTCCTCTGCCGGCTCAGCCAGCTGAGCACACGCATTCCTGCCTCTTCACTCTTCCTTGGCTGGGGAGCTCACAGGCATCACCTCTGCCCCGAGCGTCTCTTCCCGCCGCTGGAGTGAGCTGAGTGGATGGGCATGCTGGGCTTGCTGAAATGGCTGGGCAGGCATGTAACTCCCATGGAGGGTCTATGAAACCAAGACCTGGGGAAGGTGTAGATTAGCGCTTTCAGCTCTGGCTGTTGCCCAAGGAAGCTGCAGGCCAAAACTAATGTGCAAAACCCCTGCCAAGTTCTGTCAGGCTAGTGCTACTGGTGGCTTATAGTTTCACTTCCTATTTTTCTTACTGTTTAACTAATCACGGACTAAGACAAATAAAGTAACAAAGACAAGCAGGTAAGGATTGTGAGTATTTTACATTTCACACTTGCCTTCGAATCTCAACTGGGATGAGACGCCAACATAAATTCCCCTCTGAAATCTGTGATCACTAAAATGTTGCTCATACCAAGAGATGTTTGCTCAACTGTTTTTCCCAACATACTTCAAACTCTCCAGAAATCATTTTTTCACTTCTTTCTTAATGCCTGTGATGCTGCTATCTACTCTTATTTCATGAAATTTTATAATTTTTAAAAGAGAACATTGTTTGAATAACTATAAACAATATAGCCGTGATAGTTAAGGCATGAGGGAAAAACAGTTGCTGTTGTCTATGTAAAATTGTTGTAGGTTAATTGAGTAAATCTTAAATGTCAACTATAGAAATTAAACACTATTTAATGTTTTAATATATTTGATTCAATGGTTATATTTCGGTTATATTTTCTGCATTATAGCCTCAAAGCAAAGGAAGACGCTTGCTTTTTTTTCTTTCTACAGATACTCCATCAACTATAATGCTGAAGAGGACAGATTTTTCAACATTGATGCCAATACTGGAACCATTAAGACTTCCAAAGTTCTGGACAGGGAAGAGACCCCGTGGTACAACATCACAGTTGCTGCTTCAGAAAACGGTAAACTGCCTTCCGTGTTACAGGATGATCTGGCTTTTACACATGAAGGCTTATGTAAAGTTTCCCTTCAGATTATGCGCAAGCCATTTGTGGGTTTGCTGAAAAATGTAGCAACATTTACAAAGCACATGAGATAAATTTACTCATGTAGAGGGAATGCTACAGATGCCATTTCCTATACTGTAAGTCTGAGATAGTTGTAAAAAATGACACAACAGAAGCCTTTCCCTTCAACTTTGAATCAAAAATGTTGCCTCTCTTCCTGGTTGTGAGTCTTTCTATGTTATGTGTGTGTGCTAGGATTAAGCCACCAAATCATCAAATGAAAGTTATTTCACATGGAGCACTTTAAGACATTTGGAAAATCTAAAGTTGCACTTGGATAATTTTATTAATGATATTCATTGTTTAAAATCCAGTTAACTTTATAGAACTGAGATTAAACAATGATTTGTGGAAATTCAAAAGCAGGCCAATGGCTTCCTTCTTCAAGTAAAACCTATTTTATAAACGTAGGGAAGACTCTGTGTCACTCCACAGTCAGAACAGGATATTACATTGTGGTGAATACTTAAGTCCATAAGAATGCAAATGTAAATATCAATAGTTAGGACTGTGTTAAAATTAAAACAAGTCTCTTAGAAAATAGATCCATACTTGTGACCATTGTATGAAAATCTATGTAAAGATTCGAGAAAGATTTAAACTCATAAATTTAACAGAACTCAAATTTTTCAGGAAAAATGAATATATTAAGAGAAAGAATAATTCTGTGTGGCCGGGAATGTAGTTCAGTGGCACAAGCACATGCTCAGCAGGTGCAAGGTCCTCAGTTCAATTCCCTGTTCCAAAACATAACTAATGCCAATTACAATAAAATTATGTAAAATGAAATTGTATTCATTCTTTTCCTCCAGAGTATAGGACACTGAAAATACAGATTTATTTCAAGGGTCATCTGTACTATATTAGGTGTCATCACTATTTCCTCCATTTTTATTTCCAAAACTATTCTATGGTTTTACATGCAACACTTTAATTGTTCATCATATTACTGACTTTTGTTTTGTTTCACTTTTTTTTTTTCTAATGAGATTGGTGTTGGAGCGTTAGTGTGAAGGTCTGTGCCTAGCTTCTTGCAGGCTTGGATTTCCTTTCACAGGTACAGTTCTGTGTCCTTTTCATTTTCCACTAGCACATATTTGAAATACATACAGCTTACAATCATGTTGGGGATTTGATATATGTACAGTATATACCTTGTTTCCTTTTTTTTCTAAATCTATTTCTCATTTCTCTCCTGTCTCACTCCATTCTCCTCTAAATCCTCTTTTCCTATTTTTATTCTTGTTGATATTAGTAATTTTTTCCTAACATTCATGACATAAAGTTTGCATTCATTGAGGTCACATTTCATATAGATAGACAGATAGATAGATAGATAGATAGAGACATATATATCTACATCTATAATATATATAGTATTCTTACTCACAGGGTAATTATACCATCAACTATTGGCTTTCTAAATGGTGACACCATTTTTCATTCCTTAAATTATGGGATCCCAAAGTCCCCATATTGTCACTACCATTTATATGTTAAATATATATATTTCTCTCTCTCTGTACTTAGGACAGGGTCTACAGCTTCTCACTATGAAGGTCAGACTCATAGTGATTCTCCAGTTTTCAACCTCCCAAGTGCTGGGCTTACAGGGCGTGCCCCCATGCCCAGTCTCAGTCGCCTTCTAAGTGCCCCCCAGGGCGGGGCCAGCACAGGGACTCCCTGCATGTGCTTAAGCAGGCACTTTAACCCCACTGAGCTATCTGGCTGGCCCTTATTGTAACTGTTTTATGGACATAAGATGATATTTCATTGCATTCTTACGAACTTTTTCATTACCTTTTTTTATACATCAACCTTACATTCCTTGAAAATTTTGTATTACTTTCATAGGCAAAGTAGAGTCAGTGGCTTCCATTCAATGGTTGAATTAGAACAAGCTTGTCATAGTTACTTTTAAGTGATATTAAAAAGAATGTATGGATTGCTTTCTTTGTTATTCTTCAGGTTAATTTTTATTTTCAAAATAACCAGGTTGATGGAAAAGGATGTCTTTAGTTACCTGAGGACTATTAAATAAACATTAAATAATGACTCATTGAAATGAGTGAGAAAGAGAAAGAATGGAGAGTTGAGAAGTCCCAGAATATGTGGTGACAGCATTGAGCAAAACTTTTAGAAAGATGCATCAGCTCCTGTGAAACTTGGAGCAGAACCGCACTCCACATTAGTTCTCATCACACCTGTGCCCAAGTGGCAGCTGTGACTTGGGAAATGATTTCTAAATGCCTGTGAGCACATGCCTTCTGAAGGTCTATACTACTTGAAGTCATTACCAATGGAAATGTCTGCATCTACTAAAATAACTACTAAACATTCATGAGGTTTATAAATTCACATTTATAAGGTGACTTTCTTTTTCTATTATTTGTTCACATTTACAAGAATTGAGTTAATACATACTTGTTAAGTAAAACAGAACAATAAATTGCAATATCTTGACTTTTTATGTATAGTAATATAAAAGCTTTGGAGGCCACTTCAGTGAGCATTACTGAAATATAATTTAATCCTAACCATAAACAAGTGAATAGTAATTGTGACATTAGTTAACATTTTATAGCTATGCTTGAAGAGTGCTTTTAGGACAGTGCACAATCACCCAGGGATTATTTGGTCGAGGAGCCTCTTGGTATTTGCAGGAGCTCTTCCATGTATAATTGTTTTCAAGTCTTAACTTCAACCTCAGCCACCAGGTAAATATTTTCTGATTCCTTCTGCTCTGGAAATGTGGTTGCAGGATTTTCAAATTAGATTTTACAACATCTTAGCGGTAACAGTTTCTGAAGAGCTGTTCTACCAGTTGTTTTCAATATTGTTTGAACATGCTTTGTAGCCTACCCATGGGTTTGATTAAATAGATACAGATGGTCCTAATAGACAGAGGAGAGTGGGCTTCAAGATTTAAAGGAATAAAAGGACAAAGCAAAGGTGTGCAATTTAAGAAGAGTTTGCTTGTGCTTCCTGAGCAGTCTTCATGCGGAGGGCATCACTGGAGCATGATGCATGTCACCCCGGAAAATTGTGGGAGCATTCCGAGAGGGATCAACTGCTTGTTCAACTGCTCAGTCACACGGTAGTGACCAGAAACACATTTCCAGGTGATGCTATCATTTCGTGATGCCATTGTACACAACTGTAAGTCAGCTGGAATTTTTTTTTTATGAGGAGAATATATTTATTGAGGGAAAGAAAGCGTCTGTCTGAGAAGTAGAATTTTCATGGTATAATTTTACAAACAATTTGAATCTGTGAAGATGAAAGGCATTTCCATTTTACTGATGTAGAATAGGCAGCAATGTCTCCCATGTATCTCATTACCCAATTCCTCGGAAATTTACATTCTTTTGGTTTGTTAACAGATAGTTGCAGGTTATCCAGGTAGGTCCCACTGGTCTTTCTACTTCGGGGCCAAAAAGTACAAATCATATTTGAAGTAGAGTGGCCTCTTGCCAGGTAACTCTCAGCAGTTCCTATTTCTAATTCATTTTGAAAGAACCTACTTCCTTGACAAAACGAAGTACGGTCTCCTTTCCCTAATGCTTATCACCTGAGGCAGCCGTCCTCCTCCGGAATGCATGGTGGGGAACGTGTGGCTTTGCGGCCACAGCAGGCTGTTGTCATCAGTAACAGCACTAAAATATTCACCACCAATGAGGAGGCCCACTCACCTCTCACACAGCCTCACTTTCTACCAACAAGGGTGAGCCCACCCCATGCTTTTAATCTCTGAGTTTCTTCTGTGTTACCAGGTAAAAAATGGTCTGTTTCCTGATTGGGTCAGAACCACCTAATATTTGTGTATCATAAAATCAGCTGGTTTTGGACTTGACTTACACAGCAAAATCCTATCACTAGAGTTAATAGGTTCAGGTTTGGTTGAAGTACCAAGGGGGTGGAACTTGGGATGATCATTAGAATTTGGCCTGCCATACTGTGTGATATACTGCAAAAAATGGATTACTATCTTATATTTCTGAGAGGATAAAGGATTTTGCTTTAGACCTCCATGATATGATTTAATTTTCCTTTTATGAAATCTAGTGTGAGGTATATTTTTATCCCTACTGCTCCTTATATCCTGCCTAAGTGGCTTTCAGTGACTTCCTAACTGCCAAAGCCAATCAGCTCTTAGCTTATCCCCTCCCTGAATTCCTTAGGGTATGTTGCATATTTGCTGTTCTTCACCTCTTAAAATTTTGTGTTTTCTTATTCATCATTCTAACACTTTGGTTTGGTAAACTGTAAGTTCTCTGTACTAAATTACGCACTAAATAACTCACTCTGAATGTATTAATAAGCAAAACTTGCAAGACAATGTGGTACTTTAGGCACTAAGTATGTGGAAGTCATTATTTTTTTGGGGAAGAATTTAATAACCTAATGCAAAAATAAGAAAGCAGAACTTCACATCAGAGCTTCTCATTATGGAAATAGGCTCTTATTCAGGGCTTGGAAAAGAATGGAAGTTGGTGTATCTGTCTCTGGGAGAGGATTATCATACATTTCACAGGGAAGATAGTGTGTGGATTCAGGCTACAGATAAAGATTGAATATAAAGTCATCCTGAATGGTCTGCCCTGCTCCCAAATATACATCTGTCCTGTGTTAGTCTGCATTTTTCAAGAAGAGAACATTAACTGCATATCAATGTTTGTATATAGTGTGTTGATATAAATGTTACATGTTGATGTAGACATAGACAAATATGTACATGTATAACCAA